CTAGGTCGTAAGCACTCTTATGACTCCGACTACGATTCCGACTACTACTCCGTCGCTAATGAAAACCAGCCTTTAGAGTTAAATACGTCGTATGTTCGCCTGCAAAGCCCATCAATATCGCTTGCAAGGCCGGCGACCCGGGTTCGATTCCTCTCGGGGTCGCCTGGGCGCCTGTCACAACGTTCATTTTACGTTGTTTTACTTACTGTTTTAGTCTCACTGCCGGACACCGAGTATTTTAAGAAACCTGTCCGGCTGCCGGACATGTAGTCACAGCGGAATATTAAAGCTTGATTCAGCTTAAGGTCATTCCTCACATTTGCATCACGCATCCTTACTGCGCATAATTTATGGCGTCATTAGCGCGCGCTCGTGCACGCGCATATTGAAAACATGACGGATTTGCCTTGATTTTGAGCTCTGTCAGTTGAAAAATGGCTCTAGCTCACAAACGAGCACGGGCACCCCAATTTTTTTTTCCAGTCATTGTAATCAACTAATCATAAGCTTTGCGTGAGAAAAGACCGATCTAATTTCTATCGCTGAAAACTGAATAAATAAGAAAAATAGCAGACACTGTGGTCTTTTCTATTTTGCAGTCGGTAACCACGTCAAGAAATTTGGTTCAAATTCTTAATCAAGGATTTAGCTTTCTGCCTGAATCAAACTTAAAATGTTTATTTGTGTTCGACACAATGCATTGATTGTAGTTTAATGCGTGTTCTTATCGAGTTTGGCTTGACAAAGATTTTACAATTACTGGGAATGCGTTCTTATAATAAGCATCAAATAATGCCAAAATGGGGCATTTTCAATGCCTCACTGCTCCTTAATGAGCATGGGCACCCCCTTTTTTTATTTCAAAATTGAGGTTATAATATGACAAATATTCAGTGGACAAAGTTTGAACAAAACTCTATTGTCACTTTTATTTCAGAGGAATTACCTTAAGCTTATATTTTTCGATCGGCAAAATCACAACGGCGGCATTGATACATTCGTTCAGAGTTTGATACGTCCAGAGTTTGGCCAAGAGACTAACTCTGAATTCGATTGAATATTCATCCAATCGAAAGTTTGACTGTCATTCGTTTATATTGTAGTGAAAAATTTGATGAAGAACTGGGAAACAACGACATCGAGGAAAGTAGACAGAGGACCCTGGGAACGAGGCTGGGCAATGTTGTCATGACGACAGAGTGACGATTACCAACGTCACATGATAAAATCGGAGGAAATTAGAAAAGACGTCCAGAAGGAGTGTGAAATATGGCAGCAATGTCTTTCGCAGTTTCCTTCAAATACGCGGCAGTGGTTGTTCTAATTGGTTTCTCGTTAGCTGCTCTGAGCGATGGTTGTACTTACAAAGGTGACTGCGAAACGAACCAAGTCTGCTGCGACAGCGAATGTGTTTACGGATCAAGTTGTGTCGGTCAATACTGTTCGTCTGATTCTGATTGCTCTATCGGAGAGAGTTGTTGTTTGCTGTCATGTGTCTCCGGTTCAAGTTGTGTCGGTCGATACTGTTCGTCTGATTCTGACTGTTCTAGTGGAGAGAGTTGTTGTGGGCAGTTATGTGTCTCCAGTTCAAGTTGTGTCGGTCAATACTGTTCGTTTGATTCCGATTGCGGAAGTTGGGGAACCTGTTGTCACGGGACTTGCCAGAACGTATATGACAGTTGTGTTGATATTGCCGCAGTCGTAATTGCAAGCTCAGTAATTGGTTCCCTTGCTTTCATCTGCATGATGTCCATGTGTATTTTCTACGCCCGGCGTCGGGGGAGAACAATTCAGGGCAGAGTTATATTAGGACAGAGTGTAACAGCAACAACTGCCACCACCACAAGATATGCAATCCAGGTGAACCCACCTTACCAGGGACAGGCTCCATCATCCTATAGCTACCAACAAGGGCATCCATATTACCCCTTACCACAGTCAGAACAGCATCAGACAGCCAATCTTCCACCATATAACTCTGAAACAATGGCAGGGTGCGAACAACCTCCCCCTTACCCCACAGAACCACAGAGAGTATCAGGGGGAGTATATGCTCCTAAAACCTCTTATGGCACCATACCATTAGCAGCTGCTGTCTAGGAGAACCTCAGGCCAAGATCGTGATCAGTTGAGCAGACAGCTAAATTTTACAATACCTCGCAACTAATTGGTATCTTTTATATAATGTGGTCAAATATCTTGAATTGTTCTCACATTTTGATTGGTTTACTTATGATCTATATGAGGACAGACATACAGATGATGTCATTTAACCATTTTTTATTTCTTTTTTATATAAAGCAAGTAAATAAACCAATTGTTCCTGTACATCTGTTCAGTAATAGATCACAGAATACATCAAATGTGGCAAGAACATCAGTGACACCCTCACCTGACAACTTGTGTACCACTTTTTTGTTCTTACCACATTTTCATGCCATCAGTGATCAATTACTGAACAGTCATTGCATGACAGCAATTGGAATGCATTTATTTAATTGAATCACAATAGTATCTTAGTGATTTATTACAACTGTACTGATTGACATGCTTGCCATGCATCTTGATCAAGTACATAGTTAATAGAGGGGAATGGTTAAGAAACTCGACAAAGTTCTTTGTTGTATGTTTTTGTTCTCTTGTTTGGCCTTCACTGACCATGCACAAAACACAACAGTTGTATACTACTGACCACAGAACTAACCAATAGAAACATTTTGGTTATGTAACTCATGCAGTGTATGAATGCAAAACAAAAGATTGTGCACGGTCGTGGACCTTTCAGCATAAATCTTGGCATCTTTGTTTGTTCCTTTGATGTTTGCCTGGCTTCATAACCATTCCCCTCTATTAGCTATGTCAAGTTGTTGTGTAAGTGGGAATTTTGAGAGACTCAAGAGCTCAACAAAAACATAATAGGTGTTTGAGACCAAGCTGAGAGCAACTTTTATCAGGTTCTTGAGTGCACTTTGAAGTTCCTCAAAGCCTGGCTTCCAAACTTTGGAGTGCAGCATAAATACCCACACTTAGGGCAGGTTGTTCCAAAGGCAGTAACTCTGTCCACTCATTAAATCACAATCCAGCAGATGCTGTGGTTTGTTTTAATGCTAAATACACTGGATAGCAAATTATCCCATGGATAGTGTTATCCAGCCCTCGAACAACTGCGCTCTGGCAATTGATATTATCATTTCATTGAATGACAATTAACAGTGACGGATCCAGACTTAAAGCTAAGGGGAGTGGGGGGGGGGGGGGG